CATCCACCCAAGACTGGGGGAAGGTGTCAGAGTCAGTCTTTCTGCCACTTGACTATCACAGTTCTCAGGGCAGTATACAAGTATTGGTCTTGCCGTAGGGCTCCTGCCGCTGGGTTACACTGTGATGGGCCAGGCGTTAAGTGAATGTCAAGTCTCTGACTTGCACTTAACTTTTTCTCCCTCCTTTAAACAGGAGGCATCTTTCTGGACAGTTTGCTGCTTGGATCTGAGGAGACATGATACAGGCAACTCTTCTACCTGCCTGCTGTCATGTGTCTTTCTATTTTGCTATACTAAAAGTAGGCATCATGGTTTCTTACCTGGTTTCCTTAGTGCTTGTAAATGGAATTAGGTGCATAAATGGTTGTCCACCTTGTACTTTGAAAAGATCATTATCAGAGGAACTTACCTAGCCACTGTCTTGTTGTGCTTCTGAGATGAATAAAATTTAACAAAATGTATTTAAGCAAACAAGGTTTTAGAACCAGGCAACACTGCCAACTGAAGTCGGTTCAGAAGGCCAAACTCCCACATATATGCAGACTGTACTTACAGCTAGAGGAAAGGAAGGCGCCATACACACCCAACCTAAATGGCTGCAGTTCAAATTTGCCTTTATGGGCATGGTGAGAGTGGCTGGCAGCTTGTGACCAGCTGACTCTCCTCTCCTGTGATTGGCTGAGATTCAGCTACGACAAGAATACATTCTTAAATTAGTTTACACTGTTTGCATGCTAAGTTATTCTATGGTTTTCTTCATAGTGAAGCCACATTGAGCCAAATTTTATCACTTAAGTCTAAAAACAGACAGGCTAATTTACAGACTTAATGCCTTCATATATTCATCCAGAGGAAGTCCTGGAGCAAGGTACATTGTTTTCAGGTCATGAGAGAAGACAGTCACATCTAGAAGCCCAACGAGAAATGGCAACTTCAGGGCAAATGACAAATCTCTGGGTGTGCTTGAGGATGGAAGCTGAGACAGCAATGTCTGCCCAAATCAGGTCCTGGATGTAAGAACCTGCATGAAGCAGAGTGACTCTCACTGGTTCAAGGTGCAAGACAGAGCTCTTCCCTGGGAAGCAGCACAAGGGCTGAGAGCAAATACATGTTACCTCATTGTATCAAAATGCAGTAGTTCAGTGTGCCATGAAAACCAGTGCCCAGTGAGTGTATCCCAGCTGGGGCTCTTCCTCTTGAGATTGCTGGCAAATTCCATTCACAAGCACTAGGATTCTGGGATTTCTCAAAAGTTCTCATAGTTTTCTGAACTTAAATGAAGAATTATACCAACATTTCTAAAACACTTTTAATGGCTTCAGTTAAACTTACTTTAAAAAGTCTTCAACAGGAAAAAAGTCAGTTGATCAATTAGTCTTAAGGTATTATGAAATTAATATCAGTTTTTTCTAGTATAACAAACCAAAATTATAGCACGAGATGACTGTGTCTTACAATCTTCCTGAATTTTTAATTAATTTGAAGACAATGACATACTAAAAACTAATTGTATGTTTATTAATATGAAGGTAAAATTTAAATGGAATAATAATTGAATGTTAATGGATAATGGAAACCTTATAGGAGAATGTAAATATGAATCTTAAAATCCATTTAACTCAGCTCCATATTTTTATTCGTGGTACTGCCAGAAAATTGAACCCAAATTTAGGTCAGCAGCTTTTCTATTGTGTACCATTCCCACTTTTCACCCTTGTTGACTCTATGAAATGCTTTGCTATGTAAAACTGAAAACTTACTTGAATAAAATAAGAGTTTTGAGCCCTCAAATATCTACTTACTCATAAAATTTGAGAAAAAGGACAATATTATATTCCTTTGTCTTATAGAACATTGATATAACAAACATCTGTGAGACAGAAATATTTTAATGAATGATAGCCGTTGAGTGCCTTCTTCTCACTAAAATTTTATGCAGTATAAACCAAAAATTGAGAAAATAGCAGTAAAATTGAATCTAAAATAAATATTCACAAATGAAGCTTTACTTATAAAAATGAGTATGCATATTATTGAATATTAGAAGTCCCTGAAATCAGGGTCTGGTTAAACAGACCCTGGGGACACCGAACTATTTTCTTTTAGTAAGGCCATGTGTATGTTTTTAATAGTTCTTTACAGAAATGTTAAATGGAGTACAGTCTTCTTACTATATAAATATAACTCCAAATAGTTTCCTTTATAAAAACATCAGTAAGCATTTTAAAAACCTGATAGTTTACATGTATCTACATATTTTATATGCATTTTAAATGATATTGCAGACTCAGACTATATTTCAAAGTTCTCAGGTTTCTACTACAACTATACTGTGTGCTCTAACAGCAATAAATGGTGGCTAAAGTCTGCTTAAACATTCAATTCATCATTGACATTCTCTATATTTCCATTGTAATTTCTTTGCTGTTCTAGACTCTCCGTACTGTTTGCCTCATATGTAAATGGTGTAAATGGAAAGAGCTGCTCACCTATCGATTTTAGAAGGTGGAAGCATAGAGAAACATTGTTTTTATATTTCATGATGAGTAGTACAGGTTGTTATTAGCTTACTATTTTGTGATTTTATATAGTAGAAAATATTATTCTGATTTTCTGAATGAGATAACTTGACCCCAGGAGTTAAACTTAAATACTTCAACTTAAATGCTGTCTAAGTAGCAAAGTAAAGACATGCTTTTGTGTTTAGGGAAGTCCCAGTGAACTCAAGTATAGTGGGAGGAATCTGAGTAAAGAAAATAGTATGGTGTGTGTGCGTGTGTGTGCATGTGTGTGTGCATGTGTGTGTGTGTGTGTGTGTGTGTGTGTGTGCGCATGTGTAGAGGGGAAGCACTTGGATGGAGGAAGCTCTTGTCTAACAGTCTTCAGTTGACTGTGTAGGAAACACTTTCCTAAACATGATCATCACTTCCTAACATGACATCTACAAAGATGTTCTGGACTTTTCTAAGGAGTTAGCTTTTCTTACCACTTTTCTTACACACAGATTTGTGAACATTAATGATTTGTCTTTACTGAACACATTATATTGGTGTGAACTCAACTGAGACAAAAGATGAAATAGTTAAGAAACTGTCATTCTACTCAAAGAAGAAGTGCAGAGATCAATTGTACTGATGTCTTATATGAATGGGTAACCAGCAAGTCTCCTTGATTGCCCAGAGGGGTTAAATAAAAACCAGCCTCCCCATTTGAAACTAGCTTGGGCCAGGGACAGGAACTTAGTTGTGACAGTCCGTGAAGAGGAAAGAGAGACGAGAAGGGCAGAGATGGAGAGGGGGAGATGAAGAGAAAGACAACAGAGTCATAAAACAAGCCTTTCTGACTCTTACCATAGAAGGGAACCATAGTTTGAGCTGCTGTACTGAAAATATCTAATCCAGTAAGTAACTCTGAGTAATGGAGTCTCCGAATCTGCTCCGTGAACTCCATATAGCACAAGTGATTCAAAACACTGTTGAGAACTGAATGGTCTGGTCTTCATGATCAAATACACACTTTCTTCTTGGTGATGCTAATTGAATTACCAATAATGTGTCAGTTTTAGCTGTCAGAAGTAAACTGGTCTGCACACTCAAAGTTCCAAAAGCCATTATGGCCAATACATTCTTCTGATGGCTCAGTTAGCTGGGCCCCAAACTCTAATCTTTTTCATTTCCCTTCTTTTCAAATTTACTGACCCTTCAGCAATGTCTGTGAGCTCTTCTACCAAATTTATTTTGTTTTACCCAAACAAATCACTTCTTTCCACTCCCCTATTATTGTCACTACTACTACAATTGCAGTATAAGCTATTTATATGCAGGGTCCAACAGAAAATGTATACATCAGAAAAGTAAAACTTATATAAACATTTTAATACAAATTCACTGAAACATTATGAGATTAATGCAAGCTACCTTTGGCCCCTACAATGACAAGAGATGTTCAAAGTGCTGGTCATGAGCCTCCTGACATGTTACTATGGCGAGCTGCTGAAGTGTGTATACAGTTTTTGGTGAACTCTGTATTCCATGGGATCATTTTGAAAACAGCTTTCTAGGCTAAAGGATATTATTCATTCTACTTTCTGTTCTAATAATTGGTTTGTTTTCAGACTAGCCCAGAGAGCCCTTTGATGATACAGTTCATCAATTCCTTAGCCCTGGCGCAGTCTTGTGCTGTTTTTGTTTTTTGTTTTTTTTTTTCCTTTCTTTTTTTTTTTTGTACCAGGGATTGGACTCAGGATGCTGTGCCTGCCAGACAGGCACTTATTCTACTGAGCTATCTCCCCAGCCCTAGTCTAGTGCTTTAAGGTGCTATAGCTTCCTTCCCAGCACGTTGCAATCATTTCAAATATATTTATTTTTCTGGGTGATTTTGTTATTTGCTCACTAGCATGAAAGCTCCCTATGGGCATGAACTTTCTCTTTTTAATTTGGAACAATGCCTGACCTAAAATCATTCTCTACCTGCATTTGATGATTAAGCCAGGTGTCTCTTAAGCAACTTTTACTGATCAAATGACTATTTAGTCACCCTCTCCCATGCTGTCCTTAAAATATGTATACATCTCCATCCCTTTATTCTACACTGTTTGATGTTTTGATACATTTTCTCCATTAAGTTGAGCCTTGCTAATAGGAATTTCTCTCTCTCTCTCTCTCTCTCTCTCTCTCTCTCTCTCTCTCTCTCAGTTTTTTTATTTTCATTATATTATAATGCTGAATGTTGAATACCCATTAAGTACCCACTGGAACTGAAAGATGAATGAATGAATAAATAAATAAATGATTAAATACTACAAGAAATAATTGAGATCATCCTGTAGTCACTATACATAATAATCCTTTGAACGTACTAAGCTTTATGGATATTTGGATCTAATGTACATGGTATTGCAGTGCATTTAATGTTTAGTAGATAAAGTATTTGTTATTTGAGACTTCTCTGTTAGTTAAATAATCCATGTCTATCAACAACTATATTTTGTGTATTTTCAGAGATCATCTACAGCTGGGTATTCAATGAATTCCCTTCCTTTGTGGCGGAAGACAGCCGACGGTTCATTTCCCAGGAGACGGGCAACCTTTATATTTCCAAAGTGCAAACATCAGATGTCGGAAGCTATATTTGTCTGGTGAAAAACACAGTGACGAACGCGCGGGTTCTCAGTCCCCCAACACCGCTCACGCTGCGTCACGATGGTAGGTAGCATGACCCTGAGTGAAAGTTCAGCCCTCTCAGACTGAAAAGCAGAGATGCATTAGTATTTTTTCAAACATTTGGATCCAGGACACATAAAATAAAAACATATTTGTCATATGTAGAAACTTGCCATTGTAGTGTCAGATTACGCATGCTGTAGAACAAATTTTTGGTAGGGGAAACTGATGACCCATGGATGAGGAATATTCGCCATAATGTTACTCTAACATCAGGGAGGGAGAGAGGATCAGAGAAGAACAGAGATAAAGACTCCAGGGTACCATTCTTTTCTTTTTAGTGCCTCTGTGTGCATGTGTGTGAACTGTAAGTGTTTTATGTGTTCAGCTTCCATTTCATTTTTATTTTAGCTACCTTCCAACTGAATGTTCAGCATTTAATACCTCATGGTACAATTATAATTGTTATTATTATTACTTTCCCAGTAATGGGAATGGTTGGAACTGTAACTTTAAGTGCGACTCAGGCGTGTGTGATGATGCTGTAATTCGAGGTGCTAAGACCTGTCTACAGTGTCTTCATGTTGAAATACCCATTTGTGTTTATAGAGCTAAATCCAAGTCTTGCAGTGCGGAAGTCAAGCACTGTACTACAGTTGATGTGTGATATGCAGTTTGTTCTGTCATGCAACAAAAACCTATGAAGGTATATTAAGAAGTGAGCTTTAGAATCCTGATTGATTTTGACATTTAAAAACAATCTGCTTCTACACAGTTCTTTTATATTCTTGTTTCCAAAATATACACTGATGATTGTATAGCCAGAGCTATATCACAAGATTTTTGCTTAGCAGTTAGTGTGTGTATATTTGAGCATAAACATTACAAAATCAATACATATGTATCATTGTATATTATATCTAATGTAAATAGATGCAATTATCAGAAATTGGGGTATCTAGTTTAATGATGACAAACCTAATATTGGACAAATGCTGTGATCTGCCACAGGCTGCATTTAGCTAACGTCACGGATGAATGGGCAGAAAGCAAGAACACTCAGAGGCTACCGAAAGCAATGAGCCAGACAGTGATAAAGACAGAACAAAATAAAGACAGGAATGTTGGAGGGCAGGAATGCAAGGCTCGGATGTGAAGGCCAGTGGAATTACCAGATCTTGAGAATAGATTGGAAAAGGGCTCTGGACTTGTAAGACACAAATGTAAAGACAGCTCCGGGACACCAACACAGCTCACTAAGTGGGGGTTGTTTCTGTCCAATAGAAAACACGGGTGGAGGAGCGGATTTCAGTCGGTGAGCCCGAGAAATGCAATTTTGGATGTGAGGAGATAAATGGTCCATAGAAAATCTTTGGAGAACTCTGTGTCAAGAATAACATACATATTCCTAATATTCGTAAGATAGCCCAAGCTAGGGAAAGATATGTGAGTCACCATTGAATGTAGTTGAAGCTGTGTTGCATTTTTCAAGTTCATATAACAGCTTGGATTTGACATGGCTGAGCATTTTCTTCTTGATTTCTTTAGCATTTAAAATGTCCTTATCAGAAAAATGTAAAACGTTGGTGGCTGAATAAAATTTAGTTTGGTTCATTCTACCTGTCATCTGTCTGTCTGTGTATCTGTCCATTTGTCCATCTGTGCATAAAATCTTGTCCTTAAGATAGGGCTTCTGCTTTCTTTTTAAGTAGCAGACTGTCTCCATTGACCCTTACAAGGGAGAATAGTGCAAGTGTAAGTCAAATCCAAAGCACCAGTCGCACTACAAAGTTAACCTGGGCGTAACGGTCTCTTGAACTCTTATTTCCTGTATGAGATGTATCATGTTTCTATTCTACCTTCTGAGCAGAGAGCTAATTATGCTCTTACTCTGTCTGGGAAGTGAAGCACTGCTTGAAAGGTCACACTGGACACGAGTTTATGATCACCATTGTTAGGTGGGTCTTTAAGTTTGCCACTAAATTTCAGGAGTTTTCTGTAAATTGTTGAATCTGCTACTCTATCCAAAGTTTTTAGAAGCTTCTTTGCTTTCAGCTGCATGACTGGAGTATATGCCACTGAGCAAAACTTAGCCAGTGATCACATGCATCCTGTTACTAATCAAGTTCAAATCTACCTGCCTCTGCTCTTGGCCGTTTCATTCTGCTTCAGTAGAGTTGTTATTCTGCATGCTTCCTGCTAAAATGTCCAGCCTTAACTGCTGATTTTATTCTCTCAATTTTTTTTTAATTCTTTTTCAGTACTGGGAATTGAACTCAGGACCCTGCGCTTGCCAGGCAAGCACTTATTCTACTGAGCTATCTCCCCCACTTCTTTAATTTAATTTAATTTAATACTTTTTTTTCTCCCAAGTTTTTTAAAACGGTGCACCTAAAAAAAATAAAAAATAAAAAATAAAATGGTGCATCTACTCTTAGTTACTGTTTCTTATACAACCAATTCTATGTTACTAGACATAAACAATTTTTGGTCACTAAATTAATTAAATTTATTATTGTAAACTCATATTAAGTTATCAATATGTTGATAATTTTTTTTCTTTTATAAACATCTATTTTCAGCAATTATTATTTGAGGATTATATGAAAAGCTTAATGTAAATATACATATACATATATATGACAAAACTGTTATTCTAAATTAAACATTTGACTGAAAGAAAAGATAAGTAGGAAAAAGCCCTGCTAACTTTCAGAGAGTTCATTCAGTGACAGTATTTCCATATGTTAGAATATTCACATTTCACATTTCTATTTTCTATAACTTATCTAAGGCTGTTGTTCCTTCGTACCTATCTATTAATGTTCATTTTTAGTGCAAGCAAGATATCCATACAGAGTAAATGTAGTAGTAAACAAAAGGAAAAATAATGAACTATTCAACTTGACCTGCCGTTAAATCCTACTCTCTACAGCTAGCCTTCTAATCTATCTTCATCTCTGTCACTCTCTGTCTGTTTTTCTCTCTCCAGCTATCTGTGTGTGCGTCTTTCTCTCTGTACTAGCAATTGAATTCAAGGCCTTCACAGTGACTTATATACCCAACCTGTAATAAGTGCAGGGTCTTATTACACAGCTTGGATTCATGGTGATCCTTCTGTTTTCAGCCTCCCAGTGCTGGGATTACAGGCATGTGCCGCCACACCTGCTGGTGGCCACACCACGACTGCCTCAGAGAGCCTGAGGGTGAGGCCAGCAAGGCATGTGGTGTCGGAGTTTGAACACTGAGCCCTGGTCCCTGTGTTTGCCTAAGCAGGCACTTAGACTGCTGAGCTATCTTACTGGTCCCACCCAACCCTTTTTGGAGACAGAATCTTGCCAAGTGATCCAAGCTACAAGTCAACCTTGGTTCTCCTGCCTGAGCCTCCCAGAGTGCTGGGTTTACAGGCATGACCATGCCCAGATTAACAGCTAATTTTTTAATCCATAAAAAAATTTTTTTAATGCACTTTTTAAAAATTCTTGGGGCAAAGGTTGCAGCTGAACAGCACAGTGTCTGCCTAGCAACCACAAGATCCTGAGTTTGATTCCCAGTTCCAAAATAATAAATAAGCAACCTCATATAATACTATATACTATCTGTACTTTGTGATTAATCAGGTCTGAACAACTGTTTATTATTTCAGGTAAGTGTGCTTCAGCATTCTCTCTCATCCTATTTTACAGGCACCAGCTTACCACGCTGCCATTTACCCTTTCAACTTTGATAATGTGCTTACTTGTCTCTTTTTGTCTTCACTCTTAAAAATACTTCTATCTTCTTACTCTGTGAAATGACAACATTTTTTGAACTTTTTCCTTTTCCTAAACTACTTTTTTATGTATTTAGTACAGTGTCTACAGGGTCTCACTACATAAATCAGACTTGTAGTGATTCTCCTGTTTTCAGTCTCCCAAGTGCTAGGCTACAGGTGTGTGCCACCTCACCCAGTCCCAATCACCATCTCAGTGTGGCCCGGGGACAGGGATGGCACAGCAAGCCAGGGGATCGAATCCCAATTGCTGCACTCTGCCTAAGAAGGCACTTTGGTCTGCTGAGCTATCTAGCAGGCCTTTCCTAAGCTACCTTTATGTTCTTTCATCTTCTGTCTTTATTTTAGCATTTTATTCAGCTAACACAAGCAAGTCTTCCATATAAACTGACTTTGAAAGCTAACTCAAGGCATATTTACAATTATTATTATTCAATTATCATTCAGTATCACATTGTTCCAGGTTCAAAGTCATCTTCTAGATATGTGTGTTACACTGTATGCATTTTTCCTCTTAATTGAAATTTAGAATTGAGTACAACAGAAAAAAAATTAATAAGGGTATCTACGATCACTTTGGATGTTGTAGCTCTCAAAATTCTGCTGTAAAAATGAGATTCCATCCTGCTCTATGAAATTCTCTTTTTTTTCAGTATTTTAGGGAAGGGTCTACAGGGTGTTCAGGGTCTCACTACTAGATCGGACTCATAGTGATTCTCCTGTTCACAGCCTCCCAAGTGCTGGGATTACAGGGAGGCACAACCACGCCCAGTCTCAATTGCTGTCTCCGTGCGCCCCGGGAGAGGGAGTACTGGCACAGCAGGCCTGGGGATCAAACAGGCACTTTAATCCGCTGAACTATTTGGCTGGCTCTGATTATATGCTACTCTAAAAAGAATGGTCATAATCAAGAAATTACGACAAATGCTAGTGAGGTTGTGGGGAAAAGAAACACTTCCATGTTGTTCTGTGTTGTTGGTGAGAACGTAAACTAGTACAATTACTGGGGAAGCCAATATGAAGTTTTCTCAAATATCTTAAAATAGAAATTCCATTCAATTCTGGTATTCCCCTTCTTGGTGTCTTCCCAAAAGGCATAAAAACATAATATTTAGTGAAACATGCATACCTTTGTTTATAACAGCACAATTCATAATAGCTAAATCTTGGAAGCAGACTATATGCCCATCAACAGATGAGTAGATATATAAAGAAAATATCTACCATAATCTACCATAATTAAGGGTAAGCTTGAGGCATTCATAGGAAA